TTATTTCTGCAGTCCAGTTTAGACCTTAGATTACAAAAGCTGGGAGGGAAAGGGAAAGGGGTGACTAGACCTGATTCCTGGGGGTCTTATTTAGGGCTTTGGAGGAGGAAGCTAGAGCCAGCTTGGTGTAGTGGTTTGAGTGTTGGACTATGACTCTCAATTCCTGCTCAGCCATGTAAACCCAATGGGGTGACCTTAGGCAAGTCACATGCTCTCAGCCTCGGGGGAAGGCAATGGCAAACCTCTCCTGAAGAAACATGTCAAGAAAACCCCATGATAGGTTCGCCTTAGGGTCGCCATAAGCAAAACAAGGAACCTTAGGCAAGTCACACTCTCTCAGCCTCAGAGGAACACTCTCAGCCTCATTATTATAGCAACCCCCCCCTGTGGAGAAATTTTGCCATTGATAGGTTCTCCATAGGGTCACCATAAGTTGGACTTGAAGGCAAGCAACACAAGCAACTTTAGGCAAGTCACATTCTCTCGGCCTCAGAGGATGGCCATGGCAACCCCTCTCTGAGGAAACTTGCCAAGAAAACCCTGTAATAGGTTCGCTTTAGGGTTGCTGTAAGTTGGAACTTTCGTCAAGTCACACTCTCTCAGGCTCAGAGGATGGCTATGGCAAAGCCCCTGTGAAGAAACCTTGCCAAGAAAACCATGTTAATAGGATTGCCTTAGGGCTGCTGTAAGTTAGAAACAACTTGAAAGCAAGCAATACAAGCAACCTTAGGCAAGTCATCAAGTCACACTCTCTCAGCCTGAGAGGATGGCCATGGCAAAAAACAAACAAGCCAAAAAAACAACAACAAAAACCCTTTGAGAAAACCTTGCAAGAAAACCTCAAAATATATTGGCTTTAGGATCACCATAAATCAGAAAGAAAGAAAGAAACCGACTTGAAGGCAACCAACACAAGCAACCACAGACAAGTCACACTCTCTCAGCCTCCTCCTCAGGGGATGGCCAGGGAAAACCTCTGAAGAAACTTCCCCATGATAAGGAAGGGCCTGAAGGCACACAACACAAAGCAAACTCAGGCAGGTCACACTCTCTCAGCCTCCTCAGGGGATGGCCAGGGCAAACCTCTATATAGAAACCTCCCCATGATAAGGTTGCCCTAAGTCAGGACTTGAAGGCACACAAAACAACACAAAGCAACCTCAT